TTTATGTCTTTAGAACTAGTTGGTTTTTTTTTTTTGCTTTATAGGCCTTTTATCTGCACATTTGTCTTTTCTGAATGTCAATTCTTGCTGTTTTATCTTTGCCCTTGTTTGACCAACTTCCTCCACCTTTTCTTTAAGCTCAGATGTTCTGTCCTCTCCTCAATCTGTTCTGCTCGTGGAACTTTTCACAGAGCTTTTTGTTTGACTTAAATTTTTTGTTTCTGGAATTTCCGGTGGTGTTTTCTCCATTCTTTGTGTCTGTTGAGTTCTTATTTCACGTATCACGGCACCTTCCTTCTTTGTTCTGTCTGTGTTCTCAATCCACAGCTCATTGCTTCTTTGAACATACATAAAATTATTTGTTTTAGTTTTCTGTCTGGGATTTCGTCTAACTCACTCTGGTTAGATGCCATTACTGCAGGATCGGTCATTTCTCAAGGAGTTGTCTTGCTTTTTCGTGTTCCTTCTGTTACTGCATTGGAATTTAAGTATTTTTTGGCTTTATTTATTATTATTTTTATCAGCTATCTTCTTTCAGTTAAGGTATTTGCTATGGTCATATGGGACTTGGATGTGGTAGAGTTCAGTTTACAGTTCAGAAAATGGTTCCTCAGTCCAGAAGCTGAGTGCCTGGTGTAAACTATATTATTCTTTTTTAAGGATATTAACTGTGAGAGCAATCAGAGCTGCTTGATGTTCCCACATGTACAAATGTTGTACTAGCCAATTAATAATAGTGGCCCTTGACTTCAATAACTATTGCAGGAGAAACAACCAAGGGTAAAATCTGAGATTAGAAGTGGGAGGAAAATAGTGTGGCAAGAATAAGGATGAGCATTAGACTGGCTTTGAAAATAATGACAAAAAATCTGAGGGGGTTGGGGTAAAGTAACTAAAGAGGAACACTGGGAGACTGTTAGGGTCCATAGATCCAGAGATTGGTAGAGGTATGGGAGGTTATAGTTGAGAAGTTAAGAGGAAGGACTACGGATGAAAGACAAAAAGGTGTAGGGATAAGAGGGAAAGTAAGGTGGGCGGTGGCGCACGCCTGAATCCCAGCACTCGGGAGGCAGAGGCAGGCGGATCTCTGGGAGTTCAAGGCCAGCCTGGTCTACATAGCAAGTTACAGGCCAGCTGAGGCTACAGGGAGATCCTGTCTCAAAAAGACAAAAACAAAAAGGGGGGGTAATATATGGAGATGATGGTCCAGTAAAGATTGCCTTATAGAGGGCTCTAGAGATGGCTCAGTGGTTAAGAGCACTGGCTGCTCTTGCAGAGGACCTGGGTTTGACTCCCAGCACTCACATGGGAGCTAACAACTGTCCACAACTGAAAGCACTGTGAAATAGTGTTCTGATGGCTTTAAAAATATAGTCGGTGAATTAAGCTGAACCTTGAGCATGTATGTCTGGAGAGCTTTGTCTCCTGAGAAAGTTTATGCAAGAATGCTTGCTGGGGAGTTATCTCTGGATGCCGGTCTCCCCTAGTTTCTCAGGAGACATGTCGATTTCCCATGAAGGCATACTATGGTGATAATGTTATCTTGCTCATTATATTTTGCTGAACTGCTATATTCTAGTCATTTTATTGTTCACTTTTCTGTAAACATTCAGTTGTAGTTCTGAGTATGAGAATCAAAGTAGAGCTGCCTAGACAATCAGCACTCAGGTGCATGGAAGCCTGGGTTCATGGTAATCCATTCAGGTCCTGTGGCTGCCCCCAGTGGCCACATGTAACTCCAGTTCGAGGGAATCCAGTGTACTCTTCTGGCTTCAGCAGACATTCATGATATGGGTGCACTAACATACACACAGGCATAACATTCATATACATAAAATAATTTTTTTTCAAAAAAACAATGCCAGACCAGGCGTGGTGGCTCACACCTTTAATCCCAGCACTCGGGAGGCAGAGGCAGGCAGATCTCTGTGAGCATGCACAAGGTGTCAGCATGCACAAGACCTATGCAAACTCAGGCAGACAAAACCCCAGCCCAGAACTGTGGAAATGGGCAACAAACCTCAATCTTATTCAAAGAATTACCGGCAGCTGATTGCTGCTGGATGATGAGGAGCAGAAAGAAGTCCCCCCTTAAAGGGAGGGGCTCTAGATAGGCTGCCTAGACCTCGGTGGATGGACTTGCACTGAGGGACATCTGGGGACATAACTTGACATGATAGGCCTTAACACAAATGGCAGAATGTATGAATTCCAGTGGGGTGGGGACTATGGGAGGGTGCCAGTGGGGAAGGGGGTATAAAGATGATTAACATTGATTAAGATGTTCTGTATAAAATACACAAAAATTCAATTAAAATTTTACAACTAACAATAGTTGAAGTGCATGAGTCATGGGGAATGAATGCCAAAATAAAGTTCAAAGTATTAGAAAAAAGATGCAGGATATTAAAAGGGAGGTAAACAGTAGGATCTTCTAAAGGAATGAAACAACTCAGTTGCTTCAGGAACTCCCTGAAGCTGATCAGGTTCACTAGGCCTCCCCCTCCTCAGGAATACTGAGAGATGAGCTCAGACAAGCTGAGCCACCTGGACGAAGAAAAGGCCAGCAAGCTTCCTGGAAGATACTCAGACCACCTGAGCTAACCGGAAAGGAAACTTCAGCCTGTTGATCCACTTGCAGGTTGTGCAGTGCGCTCCAGGTTTCCTGCTTTTGTGAGCAGTCACCCATGCTGGGGATTCAGCTGTCTTTGAGTCATGTTTGTTCCTATGAGTGACCCCTCACCCATCCTCCTGTAAGTGACTGCAGTAAAACTGATTAGTTCACTGAGCTGGATTTTGGTGCTTTTCATGCTTCCTTTGTCTGTCGTTCATTCCTTATCTGGGGCGAGCAGAAGTTTATTCATGTCTCCCAAGAGCAGTAGCACATAACACACAGCCACCACTTCACATATTCAGTCACAAATCGTCTAGTGGCTCTAAAATGACTGTATGTTGGTTGGTTAAACTTGGGTTTTTATACTGGTCACCTTTTTAGTGAGGAATGGAAAGGAAAAGGTAAAACCATCCCTTGGCTGCCATCTTGAGAAGTAAGATGACATTTTGACTCATCATTCAATATCCTTCAAGCTCTTCATAGGAATGGAAGCTTTGCTCCTGTCAAAATCATCCTTTCACTTCACTGCTCCTCTTGAGAGTCAAGATTGCTTGCCACTCACACATAAAATTACAGCCAAGACCCCCCACTAAATATCAGGACTCCAGAAATTCCTCTCACAGTCTTCTTAATAACTTTTTTATTTCTTTTTAAATTTTAATGTATATATTTATGGGGTGCTTTATAATATTTTGAAATGTTTATACATTGCAAAATAATTAAATATAGCTAGTTAATGTATCCATTACCTAAAAAAAAAAAAACTCCTGTGCTGGGTGTGATGGCGCATACCTTTGATCCCAACACTTGGGAGGCAGAGGCAAGCAGATCTCTGTGAGATCAAGGCCAGCCTGATCTATATAGTTCCAGGCCAGCAGAGACTACAAGGAGATACTGTCTCAAAAAAAAAAAAAAAATAAGCCTTATAACAAACATAAACAACTGTCCTAAGATCTAGTTGAGCAATATACAAAGAAAAGCAAAACCATCCTGAGATATATGCAACAGTGGAAATTAAATACTGGAGAGTAAGAAATAAAAAGAACATATAGGAAGGGGCTGGAGAGATGGCTGCTCTTGTAGGAGATCCAGGATCGAATCCTAGCACCGACATGGTGCTAACTCCATGTTAACTCTCTCTAGCCTCTAGTCTCTCTCTCTGACCTCACACCCTGCACGACATAGGTGCAACTACTTACACGCAGGCATCCAGTTCCAGGGGATCTAACACCCTTCTCTGACCTCACACCCTGCACGACATAGGTGCAACTACTTACACGCAGGCAATATACGCATACACATAAAAAATAAAGTTTTTTTTTTTTTTAAAGAATACATATGAAGTGAGTTTCTGGTATAACTGCACTGAGTTGAAAGATGATGTTCTCAGACCTCTCTGGCTCTAGCAAGCTTCACTTGGCGCTGTGTTGAAAAAAGTTTTTTCAGGCTGGACAGATGGCTCAGTGGTTAAGAGCACTGACTGTTCTTGCAGACGAACTGGGCTTGAATTCCAGCACCCACATGGCAGCCAACGACTGTCCTTAACTCAGGTTCCAGGGGATCTGACCTCCGTGGACATTGCACAACATGGGTGCACCTACATACATGCAGGCAATATGCTCATACACACAAAATAAAAATAATGAACAAAAAGGAGAATGGTTTTTTTTTCAAGCTTATACTTACAATACTATGTAGACCAAAATATTGATCTGGATAAGTTATCTTCCTATATTTCTGAGTTCTATGCTTTTTGTTATTAAAATATACTATTACTTTTTAAAACTTTGTTGTAAAAAACAGTATGCTGTTATGCAGTCGACTGCTGTATACATCTTGTTTTCCCCTTGTCTTTTGATTGCATCAAGAGGCCATATCAAATGATTCGTCTATACCTTCTGTGTTTCTTAACAATGACAGAGTATCCCCTTTGTTAAGTAATGCATGACTGTATATTTCACTCGTACATAGGAATACATGAATAAGGTGTTTTCAATGGATCCTTCGCTAAACTTTTCACGCATAAGATTTTGTATCATTCAATTTTTCTTGTTTGTCTTGCCCCAGGAACATTCTACTTAGCATTTTTCTTCTATACTTACTTCTGTTTTCTAGGACACAGATAGAAACTACTCTTTTTAGTTATTTCATTTTTAAAAACCACTTTTTGCAGGTATTTGATGACAAAGGAGTTGATGTTACTCCTCGACCTCTCTACCACCCAGATCCACATGTCGGAACAGCAAAGCCAAATAAACTATTGTCTTCACAAGAAGGATCACTTGGATCGGATTTTGTTTCTTCCTATGGCCTGTATCAGAATACAATAAATCCTAGTACGATAGGGCAGTTTACAAGGTGAAGTATTCTGTCTGTAGTTCTTTTTATACCATCTATATCGTCTGTCCATTTCTTTTGCATACATGTAGTACACACATTAGTTTCCAGTTTTCTCTCATTTCCATCCAGCATGCTAGCATGCCACCTGCATGTTCCTCTTAGGTTTTAACTAGACACATATGGAGAGCTCGGCTGAAGAGCTTGCACACATTCCAGAACAATTGTGAAAAAGATATAGATTTTACTTTAGATTTCCCTAGGGACCAAAACATCACAGTTGATTTCAGATTCCCATTAGACAGTTTGCTTCAGTTTCTTACATTTTCCTTGGCTTTTTAAATGCTTTGATTGATGGGAAGAAGTTGTTTTCCTTTTTCCTCCATCTTGCATGAAAAACCTTATTCTAGGAGTTTATTTCTGTTAATTTAAAACACAAAGCAATTGTACACTGCTAGAGCCTACCTCCAATTTTGACACAAAAGCATGGAATTTCTGGGTAAAACAGGATATTCCAATTAAATTGACATTCCTAATCAAGAGTTGAAGCCATAAATCTTAAAAGAAAATATGTTAAATTATAGATGATGTTACAATCATATGTTTAAGAAAATTTATTTTGGGGTTCTTACACTTATTGCCTGCTCTAAGTATACAGCTGTGCTTTAAATTAAATTTTTGGAGGGCCTTTACAAAATTGGACAAAATAAGATGAGATGTGAACAATGAGCAGAAAACAGATGAGAATGAAAGGAGAGTTCTGTAAGACCGAGGCAGAAAAAAACCAACAACAAAATGCTGCAAATGCTAATGACGGCGAAGAGCCTGAGAGGGGGCTGTGTTTTCTGTGTCTGTCCAAAATATATATTGAGAACACATCGGTGCCCTCTAGGCATAGATCTGACGTGTTATTCTAAATATACTTGCATGTTTTATTTAAAAACATGACAAAATGAATATTTTAAGAGTATTTTTATCTGTTTTGCTTATATGACTGTAATATATTTGATTTTTCCATCTGGTAAGTAGTCTAATTTGTGCTTTCATTCGCCAAGGACGTTGGATAAATGAACAATGTTAATTACTTTCAAAGGTCAGTTTTAGGAAGCAGTACCATGTCTAAGTCGAGTATATCAACAACTGAATCAATGACGGAGGACCTAGAAAAACCATCTTACAAAAGAGAAAGACTGAGTAGTTTCACAGGTAATAAAACATGCTTTTGTCTTTAATCTTACAGTTTTCGTACATTTTCAGTGATATTTAATTCTAGACATCGCCCTACTCGTTTAATTAAATCATCCTGCTTGGAAAACCTAGATTATTTTTGTCACAGTCTGTATAGGATTCATTTCTTAATTGTGCTTGAAAATAAATAAGAAGAAAGGTCTGAGGATACCGCAATGGCAGAGCACTTACCTACTGTCTGCAAGTCTCTGAGTTTGGTCCTTACCATCTGGCCTCGTGTGTGTTTGTCTGTGTGTCTGTGTGTCTGTGTGTCTGTGTGTCTGTGTGTTAGTTACCTGCAGACAAACTCTCCTGATATCCACAAGCCAGCATTTGGAAATCATTATCAACATTTACCTCAGTTGCCAAATAAATAATAAGCATATTGTCTACATAAGTAACAGATTGAAATATTTGAGTGCTGTTATCTAGCTTTGCATGACACTCTCCAGTAAAGGAAACCACAGCTCTGTAGATTTGGGGGACTTGAGCATATAAAACATGAGCAAGAAAGTAAACAACGCTAGAACAAAACCCTACCAAAAATGTGGGGAGCGGGAATGTAACAGCAACACAGAGGCTTTAGAAGTCCCGTTAGTCAAAGGTAGAACAAGTTCAACAACAAAAAGTGTACTACTGAATTAGTACTCCTATTAAATATCCGTGGGCCCATACTCTGATTCATAATGAGGTCAGAGCAGATAAACTCCGGTAGAAAAGAATTCTAATATTTACGTAGATGTAGATGTTTCTCTCTCGAGAAGGTGAAGCTTCACTCCTCATCCTCTCAAGAGTGGACTTTGCATCATGGCTTTCTTCAGAGTATGAAGGGAAGAATAAAACAGAAACCCGGCACACTGCCTCAGCTAGGAGGTGAAGATTCATGTTAGTGATACATCATTTTTATAGCTTTCATACGTGGTAAGATGCCGCCCCTTGACCCCCTCTGCTTCCTCACTCCAGCGTCTAGCATCAGCCAAACCTGAATTGAAGCACATTCTCTAATGCTTGACCAGTACTCCTCGGGGTGTTTTAAAATAAGTCTGAGAAATTACCGTAGTCTAGAAAAGCCTAGAGAGACAAGATGATTAAAATGTGGTATTTTGACTAACATTCTGTAACAGAAAAATGACGTTTTAAGTGACATTAAAAATGAAAACTGGAATAAAATGTGGACTCTAGTTATTGGTTCATTAGTTGTATTAAGTATAGTGTAGTCATGTTAAGAACAGGGACAGCAGAATGCAGGTTGTATACAAAATTTAATATTCCTACAACTTTATGCTTCCAACTATTCTAAAATAAAAATTGCTCTTTTAATCTGTGAAAATCTTTAACAAGACCTCTGGATGATTTTGGTACACACGATATTTTTAAATTTTAAACAAAACAAATTATTCAGCAACAATGATACATTTTAGGGAAGAAGCGCATGTACCTGGAGCATACAGTTTTAAGACCCAGAAGGAGGCTTATGCTTGGGAAATCTTGGAGCTTCATTTGTGTGTTAGGGTCTGTGCACGTTATGCACAGACTGTCTTTAGCTCGTTTCAGCGAATTAAATATGTAATGGATACTCTGACATGAACTTATACAGTGCATTGGTTTGCATAAAATGCAACTGGAGAGAAACGAATACTGAGTTTGTCAATTTGATTGTAGTTGTATTGGACCCATTGCAGAGTAAGGAAGGCCTCATAGATTCTTATTCCACAAATAATAAAGATGATTTTAAAGTTAACTATTGTGTTATGAAGGGTTAATCATTAAAAAATTTCTGATTTCTGGCCTTTTCTATCTGAATATTTTACATTGCTGTAACCACAATGTAGATCATGTTCTGGACTATTCTGTCATTTAGAATGGTAGCACAAACATTTTCATAGTTTAAAAAAATTACATTTATAACTATTTCCCATTCATAAATGAGTATACCTTACTATATTTAACCATTCCAAATGTTGATTGTGTTTTTTAATGTATAACTTGTATTTTCTTAGACTTTAAGTAAGGTTTTTTTTTTTTTTTAGATTGTGGACTTTAAGAGGAGGCAGCTTTTGTATCTGCAGAGTGTTATATTGTTTTATTTTCCAGAAACAACTCAAATTGATCCATCTCAAAGTCTCATGAGTCCTTGCTTACTACTTCTTTGTTATGAAAAATGTATTGAAGCCTGGTATGGGTTCCTGCCTGCCATGCCTGTACCCTGGAGACAGAGACAGGAGGGTCACAAGTTTGAGTCCAGAGTGGGTAATATAGTGAGATCCTATCTCAGAAAGAAAAGCAAAAATATATTGAACCAATATATTGAACCCTGAACTATATGCTACATGAAGGATCTCTTATTTGTAACAATTTCGAATTCACTCAAACCTGAAAGTCTGTCATTAGTAAAATTCTCCTAGGCCTGCATCTCTGATCATCCTAAAGGTTTTGGCCAGTCCTTTTCAGCATACTATTTATTTGTGTGAACACTGAGCCCATTTTACTCCTGTAGTCAACCAGATCTCTTGGAGAGTCTTCTAGTTTTTGGTGAAGATGATTAGAGGTAGACTCTATTTTTTAAAAAACTTGCTATAGCCTCAAAGCGTGTGTAGTGTTACAAATACACATGCCCTTGTATCCTTTCTCAGTGGTACCCAGAGCTGTCTCAAAATCTCTGTTAATATGATAATATAATGTAACAGGATGCCCTTGGAGTTATGAGCATAGTTATGAGACTAGACTAGGATTAATACCTGTAGTCAGCAAGGCACAATTATGGGCTGTTCCAGTTGGCCTCACAGAGCTTAAATCAACTGCCATTTAAAGCACTTGCCGTGTATGGTTCATCGTGGTATTTTTAGTGACTAGGAAGAAGTGTGCCATTTAGCAGATGGTTTTTATTAAGTCATGTATTTCAGATGTGCGAGTTATGAGGACAACACCTGGAACCCTTATAACAAAAGAAGACCTGGAGAAGAATATAGAGATAATGCTCACAGAGACAGAAACACTGAGATTTTTTGACCTGCCAACAGTCATGATCTCAGTAGAATCTGAAGAAGCTGAGAAAATCATGTACGTATAGCTCAACTGTCCACATCACCTCTTAACTCAGGTGCTGAATTAGGGTCCTTGTTCCTGTGACGTGTCCTTAGAGACTTCCGGAAGTGCGCTAGGCTGTGTGTGCCCTTAAAATTACGTGAGAAGTTATGTATGTGTCCTGTGATATTATATGGGGAATGTTTATACTCTATGAAAGTTTTCTACAGGAAAAGCCCATTACCTTTGCATATTCTCTATAATTATGAGAGCTCTTGAAGAAGAAAGCAGGGGCTAGTGATCCACAGGTGCAGAGCTGCAGTCAGGAGGATAAAGCTCTGCTGTCCTATTACACAGTCATATGACTACAACATTTGTTTCAAAATAGCTAGACGAGAGAATTTTGAATGTTCTCATCATAAAGAAATAAATGATTGAGGTAAAGGGTATGTTCCTTACCTTGATTTAATAACACTGTGTGTTTAGGTATCCAAGTACCACATTATGCCCCATAAATATGCACACTCGTTATTTGTCAATTAAAAATAAAACAGGGTAAGGCGGCTCAGCAGGTGGAAGTGCTTACCTTGTAAGTCTAATAACCTGACTTTGATCCTCAGAAGCCACATAAGGTGGAGGGAAAGGCTAGACCCTACAGTTGTCCTTGTGGCCTCCACAGGCACATGGTGACATGTGTGCACCTACAGAGGAGAGAGAGAGAGAGAGAGAGAGAGAGAGAGAGAGAGAGAGAGAGGAGAGAGAGGAGAGAGAATAAAATATTTTTAATATTTTAAAAATCAAAAAATTAAAAAGTTTAGGACTGAGGAGATGGCACACTGAGTGAGTAAGTGCATCCGGTGCAGGTATGAGGACCTAAATTAGAATCCCAAATGCCTATGTGAAAACCAGTGTAGTTGCTGTGGGAGGGGGTGGTGGTAGAAGGATTGTTGGGGTTTGATGACTGCCAGCCTAAGTCCAGGTTCAGGGAGAGACTGAGTCTCAAAGGAATGAAGCAGTGATAGAACAGGACAGCTGGCATTCTCTGCCCTCTGTGCACAGGCGCCTACATGCACAGGTGTAAAAAATAACCCACATATTTAATACTTAAAGGAAAATACAGAGAAATAGATGGATTTACTGAAAATAGGGTTTTTATTTCTCTCAATGTAAATGTATTACAGTTCTTTGATATTTTGATCCTCTATTAAAGATCGCCTTGGGTAGTCAGGAGAGTAACCTCCTTCCCTATCTTGTGATGCCCCTTGTATCTCTGATTATTTTTTCTGCTTTGAGCCTTCTCTCTCCAAAGTTAATTTGGTTACATAATAGATTACTAATAAAGTTAATTCAGATTATTTCACCTCTAAATAACATCTGAATATGATTCATCATGCTGAAATACATACTATAATAATTTTGGGACATCCTTATCCCAAGGTTATTATTTTTGCTCTATGAAATATAGTACAAATTAGGTCATAAATGACAAGCTTTAATAGCTCATAAATAAGGAAAACTGGGTCATGAAGGACAAGATTTGATAGCTCATAAATAAGGAAAATTGGGCTGGGCATATAGAATCATGGTAGATTACCTACCTTGCATATGTGAGGTTCTGGGTTCAATTCCTCACACCAGAGAGAAATGTGGGAGAGGAGAGGAGAGAAAGACAAGAGAGAGAGAGGGAGGGAGAGAGAGAGAGAGAGAGAGAGAGAGAGAGAGAGTGAGAGAGGGAATTAGAGATGGGAACAATGTTAGTGCATAGATAGGAGACCAGCTGTAGTTTTCCCTGAAAGATTCTTGTATTAAGCAAGACCCTCCAAAGGAGCTCATGAGTTGGGCTGTACCTCAGTAACATGGTGTCCTTAAAGTCCTGGGTTCAATCCCCAACCCCAAAAGACAAGAAGCTCAGTTATCTCCAGTGGTCTTAGGTTGGTAAGGTCTCATGATTCTGGGAAGCTACAATGTCTGAGGAATTGGCACCTAGGCCCTGAAGGTTCTCTCAGATTGGGTCAGCGAGATGACTCAGCAGGTAAGTGTTGGCTGTGCAAGTTGGATGACCAGAGTTCAATTCTCAGAACCCACTGTAGAAGGAGAGAATCAATTTCTGAAAGTTGTCCTCTGACCACCACACATGTGCTGTGACAGGTGCATACTGCACTCACAAAATAATAAATACATAAAAAAGATTCCCTCAGATTAAATTTGGTAAAAATACACCAAATCAATAGACAAGTCATTACGAATAAGGATAAACAGAAATAACATCCTAAATTCAGACTCTAAAGACTGTAGATAGCTCATATGATCAGATATAAAATATTTGTGAAAAGTTTTAATGAATAAAACACTTAAAACGTTTACATTAAGAAAGTCAAAATGACACATTTGGATAAGAACTATATAATTGTTAAAAGCATACATTAAATGTTATTGAGTAGAAATCAAACGACTGAAAACTAGATCTGAATAATTACACAGAATGAAATGTAAGAGAAATGGCGTATTCTGTATGAAACAAGTTAAAATATGCTTATAGAAAAATAGTGTAACATATATCTAATCGTGTTTCAAACATGCACAATACAAAAAGTGGAGAACTATTCCAAATGGGTAAGAGCTTTCCTAAATTTCTATTCCAAGAAATACAAATAAAGAAAACCAACACACAAAATAATTGTTCTCAGTTCATGTGCTGGTAATCTAGAATGCCAAATATAAAGAGAAATGATTTTTTAAGATACTTTATTTATTACTTTTATATTTTTATGTGTATGCATGTATCACCTGCATGTAGGTAAGTGTACCTGTGTTGTGCAATGCCTGCGGAGGACAGAAGAAGCTGTCGAATCCCCTGGAACTGGAGTTACAGACAGTTGTTAGCTGCCATGTGGGTGCTGGGTCTTCTGCAAGAACAGTCAGTGTTCTTAACTGCTGAGCCATCTCTCCAGCCTGAAAAATGTTTTTTTTAAAATCCATTAAAAATTGGAACAGATCTACAGCTGTCAACTGATCTCCAAGAATAACTGCAAGCTCATGGCTGCTGAGAAATGTTTTTAATGTATATTTTTATTTATATGTAGGTGTCTCTGTGAATGCCACATGTATGTGGGTGCATAAGGAGGTCAGAAGAGGGCATAGGATCTGGAACTGTAGTCACAGGTGGTTCTGAGCTGCTGGACATGGGTGTTGGAAATTATTATTATCATTATTTTATTTTAATAGCACAGGGTAGTGGTTTATTTACAGAAGAGTGGGTGCCCCACATTTATGGCTGTGATGTCAAGGCTACACTCAAATGCAGATCCTGTGACCTCCTGACAGCTGCACAAAATTGTGGGAGAGATGCCTCTTGGTGTTCTCACCTTATATACCTTTGTCACTTCCACATGCAGCTAAGGTCGACTGATTGGGTGGGAGGGGTAACTGACTCCCCTCCGCTCCTTGATGACAGTGGGAAGGAGGTGTGACTATGGCTTGCCAGCATAGTGGTCAGAGGACACTTCCAGTTACACTCCACCCCTTCCTCTGGCTCTTACATTCTTTCCGCCAACCTCAGAAGAAGATTTTTAAAGCTGAAGAAATTATAGGAAAAACATAGAACCTTCAGGAAAAACAACATTATTAGGGATAAAGATCACTACATAATGATGGGGAGATGTAATCATTTTAAACATGAGGATTCCTAGCAAAATAATTTCAAAACATATGGACCAAAAGTTCCAAACCTGGCATCTTACTAAAGTTGATGATTTAGACATACCTCATAACACTGAAGAGCCAGAATGCTCTGACTCCATTTTGGCTAGCTTCTTTAGACAAGCTCAGGCATATTGTACATGTAAAAGCCTTATAAGGTATGAACAAAAACTTCTGACTCTAAAAGACAGTAGTCAGCACATGCCAATGCCCTGAAGACAGCCCCTACCAGTCAAGACTTTCCCTGTACACAGGCTATGGGGACATCCAATTATTTTAAAAAGATGTTTGGCACACGCGGGTTTCTGTGGAGTGCCCCCAATAAAAGCTCCTGCCTGCTATTGTTCGGGGCCCAACTCCATCTTTGGCTCTTGAAGTCTGTGCCCAGCTAGCTGCCATTTCGTTGTACATGTAAAAGCTTTATAAGGTATGAACAAAAACTTCTGACTCTAAAAGATATTAGTCAGCACATTCCAATGCCCTGAAGACAGCCCCTACCAATTAAGACTTTCCCCATACACAGGATATGGGGACATCCAATTATTTTTAAAAAATGCTTGGCACACGCGGGTTTCTGTGGAGTGCCCCAATAAAAGCTCCTGCCTGCTATTGTTCGGGGCCAGGCTCCATCTTTGGCTCGTGAAATCTGTGCCCAGCTAGCCGCCATTTGGTTGTTGTCCTTTTTTACTTTAAATTCTTAAATAAACTTTGTATAATCTTTTTGGGTATCTGTGGGAATTATTCTTGATTCTCAAACCCTAACAGACACAAAAATCTCAAAAATGTCAGAGGAGGAGAATTTCACAGATTCCATGATTGTATGGCAATGGAAACTTACTAAGTCTAATATTCACATACACATTAGGAAATTAACATTTAGCAGATTAATGAAGTTATGCAAATTTAAAAATTACTCTAACCAATTATGAAAAAAAGGTATGGGCCACAATGCCCAGCCTTTCAAAGATTTTGTAATTTAACATTTTTTTTTTCTTGGTTTATTTTTATGTGTATGAGAGTTCTGCCTGCATGTATATAAGTACACCAGTGTCATGCAATGCACAAAGAGGCCAGAAGAGGGCATTGGCCCACTAGACTAGAATTACAGACAGTTGTTAGCTGCCATGTGGGTGCTGGGAACCAAACTCAGGTCTTCTGCAAGAGTAGCCAGTGCTCTGAACCATCTCTCCAGCTTCATTTTTTTAATGGAAGCACTTTTAAGACAAGGGTTAACATAGATAATAATGTGTATTTGTAATCACTTTTACTGAAGAGTTACATTTTTTTTATACAGGAAGAGAAATAAGAATTATGAAGCTCTCTGTAAAAACAGGATAGGCAATGACTTGTATGTAGAGAGAATGATGCAGACGTTTAACGGAGCACCAAAGAATAAAGAAGTTCAGTGTGATAAAATCATAATGGAAGAAAAAGGTAATTTGTTCTGTTCTTGTAGATAAACTGTTGTGTGTTCGTATATGTTCTTTGAGACTGTCAGTGAACAAATGCTGAAGTAAAAGCAAAAAATGGAAGTAATTTGCCCAAATCACAATAATAGTTAGGTATTGTGACATAGCTTTCAGATAACTTTTACATGTTAACAAGTAATAGTAATATAGAATATTTGAATAATGCAATTATCCAACCTGATTTTTATACACCTTATATCAAAATTCAATTGTTGATGAAAATCATAGAAACTGATTTTACAATATCTTAAGAGTGTCTACCACAGCTAACAGTTTGCATGTGCCACACAGTATTTAGGTTCTTCATATATTAATGGATTCATTGTTCACCATAACTGAGGTAGGTATGATTATTATCCTCCATTTCATGAACAAGGAAATAGCCAAAGAGAAGTGAGTTAACTTGTTCTTGTCCTAGAACCAGTTTTCCTAACTACTGCATTTACTACTCAGTGTTTGCAAATGAACATCCCTGAAGAGACTGCTTAACCAAAACTCTGTGTGACTGAAAGAATAACTAGAAGAAAGGGCATATAGAGTCTTCATTGCATTTCTTACTGAACAAAACTAGGAGCTAGTTTTTTTCATTTCTTGTTTGTTTGTTTTAGGGTCTCCGTGCAGCCCCAGATGGCCTGGAACTCACTATGCAGACCAAGCTGATCTCAGTCTCACAGAGATCAGCCTGCCTCTGCCTCCCAAGTGCTGGCATTAAAGGCCACTGTACCTGACTAATTTTCTTTTTAAGGATTTGAGGATTAAAATATATACACCTCTAGCAAAGAGATTAACCATTTTAAGAATAAAAGACAATGTGTGTGTCTTACTGCTGGAAACATTTATTGCTCACCCCTGATACTTGCTTTTATAAGAATAAATATGCCCATCTCTGTTTGTTTTTAGTCTTTCTCTCAGTCCCACCCAGGAGCAGAGGTGGGACTTCTCTGGTTGATACATTAGGAGTTAGCAAGTGGGTGTGCACTTTTTTCTTCTGCTCTTCCTTCCCTGGTAGCCTGATGGGAGCAGGAAGCACATATTCTGATTAGCATGAATCCCTGAGCCCTGGGTTTGATCCACAGTGCTGCATAAGCCAAATGTGGTGGTGTACACCTGCGATGCCAATGCCTTGGAGGTGGAAGCAAGAGGGTCAGGAGTTAAGGTCATCTTCAGCTATATAACGTGTTCCAGGCCAGCCTGAGATATATGAGAACCTGTCTTTAAAACCCCAAATCTGATGATTAGTGAAATGGAAAAACTCTATTACAGCAATAGAATATTTGAGAAAGGTGGATTAATTACTAAAGATATATCCATGTAAAAGATCAGATCAAGAAATATATCTCTAGATAAGGTTTATTTGAGACCAACAGATCATTACCCAAGATTTATCTGCATGACACACAGTAATTAAAAATGCCAGAATGGTGGAACTAAACTTCTTGGATGTTTAACAGACACACCTTGAGATCTATACTAATTGGGTCAGAGGGACACAAAGGACACTTTT